GGATTGGAAGGAAGGGGGAGGGTCCCTGCCTCCCCCAGCCCCCACCCAGGCTGGCCATCTAGCGGGGGCTGGGGAGCACGAGCCGTTTCCACAGTGTGACTCGTCTTTGCTACATACTGTCTGGTTTAAATCCTGGCTCTGATGCGCTTGCTAGCTGTGGGCGGTTTATTTCACGTCCTTGTGCCTTGGTTTCTTCGTCTGTAAAATGAGATGACTGCTTGTAAGCATCCTCTGAGTGGGATAACAGGATGCATGCATGGCCCGGAGGGAAGGGCCAAGAGGCTGGTTCCTGGCCAGTGCGCATTGCTCTGTCCAGGCAAGGAGTGAACATTTGTTGAGCACCTACTATGTCCCAGACACTGATTAGGGGTCTGACGTGCCTTATCTCATGTGATCCCCTCACCCACCCTGGACAGTCAGCGTGATGATGTTTGCAAGGAAGGAAATGGGCTTGAAGGCGAACTTACCGAGCTCTCAGTTTGTAAGTAGTGAGGGAAGGAGTGGACTCCGGGCACCCAAGCCCATCACACGCAGGCCAGGAAACTGCTAGCTCCACCCCCACCCGCCTCTCTGGGCAGCAGTCCCTTCCTTCCTTCCGGACAGATAGGGCCCGTCAGGTGCAACAAACCTTCCTGCTCCAGCAAGAAAAGCTCACCTGCGCCTAACCCTTGCTAACCCTCCTGGGCCACCTCTGGGCTGCCAGAGGGGCAGCAGGGTGGCATCCTTCACCCCCTCCCGGTGGCTGGTTAAGGGTAGGAGCCTGAGGCAGGAAAACCATTGAAGGTCTGCCTCCTCCACAGGGGAGCTGAGTGACCTCCGGCAGTTCCCCCCCGCCTGAGTTTCCCCATCTGTGGAGTGGGCACGGCAGTAACACCTATGGCCTACAGTGGTTTTGAGGATTCAATGAGATGATGCATTTAAAGTGCTCATCCCAGAGAAAGTAGAATGTTGGCTGCCAGGGGCTGGAGGAGAGGGGGATGGGGAGTTAGTTTTAATGGGTACAGAGTTTACGTTTGGGAAGAGGAAAAAAGGGCTGGAGATGGATGGTGGTGATGGTTGCACATAGACTTAATGTGGGTGAACAGTATACTTTAAAGTGGCTAAAATGGTAAAGTTTATGTTATGTCTATTCCCTCACAATTAAAATTTCAAAGTACTCGTTACAGTATGACACAGAAAAAGGGGGGCTTCCTTGACGTTCCCCAAACATGCCCAGCTCCCCCTACCTCAGCGCCATGCTGTGCCCTCTGTCTGGAATCCTTGCCACCATTATTCCTACGGCTCACTCCCTCCCTTTGCTCAGGTGCCTGCTTAAGAGTCACCTCCTCAGAGAAGTCTTCCCTGACCACCCCGGCACCTCCGTGATCCACAGGCCCCTGGCCTCACGTGTGTTTTTTAACCGCCCTCATCACCACCTGAAAATGCACTACATGTTTATTTATTCCTCTCCTCTTCCTGAATATAAATTCCATGAGGACAGGGACCCGCAGTATCTAGAACAGTGCCTGGTACTTAGTAAGTGCTCATTAAACACTTGTGAAAGAAGGGACAATAAAGCTTAGTTTTGTTTCATTGTCATCCTACAATGGGGATAGACCTCCAGACCCATTCCCAGCACCCGGAAGCCTGCTGGGGTGTGGCAGCCAGGGGAGGCCTGAGGCGGAGGGTTAAGCTCCTGGAGAAACGCTGAGAGGGCAAGGCATAAGGCACCCGCTTTGGAAAGAAAGGAAGGTTGACCTGAATGGAAGAGTCACATTTTTGAATCCCCAATTTGCCCGTGAGTGCGTGCTTGTTCTGTGTGCGGGCCCTTTTTTGGGCTAGTGCTTGGCTTTCCAAGGAGAGAGACCAGCTGGGGAGGGGTGTGGCAGGCGGGCAAGCCTCCTCAGAGCTGTGGGTGTAGACAGAGACCACGGGAAGCCAGTCCCCCTTGCTGGAGCGAAAGCCAGCGAACTCTCAGAACTGGCTGAGTCTGGCCCGAGCAAGGGGCAAGACCAGGAAGCTGGGAGACAGAAGGCTGGAGAAGGGCTGCAGCTTGCAGCTCAGGGCGGGGCCAGGATCCCTACTGGGGACAAAGGTCAAGTTTGCATTTCCTCTAAGTCAAGGCAGCTAGTCCAATGGACACAGAGACCATAAACAGGGATTTCCCCAGGGGACATTGGGGTGCCTACACCTGGGCAATCAAGAAGAGCAAGGGAAACTATACTTTCAAAAAAAGACAGTATCTTCAAAAGACTTCTGAAGGAGCTCTAAAGACAGTTTTCCCAGCCTTCCTGTCTTGCCCATTCTAGTTTACCACCCCTCTCCAGAGCCCCTCTTGCATTAAGTATTTAGGGAGGAGTGAGCAGGTGTGTATAAGGGAAAGTAACAGCCCATAATTTATTTATTCATTCATTCATTCATTCATTTAAATCCTCACCAGAGGCTATGTTTCCATTTATTTTATTTTATTTATTTCGAGAAAGAGGAAGAGGGAGAGAGGGAGACATTGATATGAGAAAAATCGATCGGTTGCCTCCTGTACACACCCAAACCGGGGAAAAAATCCTGCAACCTGGATATGTGCCCTGACCTGGAACTGAACGCACAATCTTTTGGTGTATAGGACAATGCTCCAACCAACTTAGCCACCTCCCCAGAGCATCCCATATTTTATTTAATGCAGGTGAGGCTATTTCAAGAATGGATTTCATGTTCTCCATAAGGAAAAGTCATTTCGGTCTCCAGTTCTAAATGAGGCCCACCAGCACTCCCTCCTTTTAATGTTTCAACATGGTTGTATTCATCACAGTTACTGCCACTTCTTAGACTTTTTATGTGCCAGGAGTACTACGCTGCGTACTTTGTATGGAGTCCATAATTATGACAATAATCCCTTAGTACAGGCGTTATTCTCCCTTGCTTTACCTATGAGGCCGCTGGGGCTCAAAGCAGGGAAATACGTTTCAACAGCTAGTAAGTGGGGTCTGAACTAGAACTGTCTGCCTGAATGCCTGCAATGTCACCCAGCACCTAGCACAGTGCCTCGCCCATAATATGTGCCCCAAATATTTGATTTTGAATGACCTGAATTAATGAGTTTTACTATGTCCCAGGGTCTCACCAGCTCTGGGAGGTAGGAGTTATTGGCACTTCATGC